CGCCTTGTAGTCGTGAAAATACGGTACTGTAAAATTAATTTAAAATCCATGAATGAAATTACTTATCTGAACTATAAAACATTTATTGATTTATATTCCTGGATGTAATATATTATGAAGCATTGTGAAGGTTTAAAACATTTTTTTCTCTATATTATCTTGCATAAAAAGCAAATAAAACTGATATAACCTTTTCTCTGTGCTTTTTTCTGAATGTTTTTTTTACTTGAACTTAAAAAACCAAAACTGGCTAGGTGACAAGTAGCTGTATTGTAAAGGTAATTCTCCAGAGCTAATTTCCACTCAAACCGGTTGGAGAAAGTGGCTGGATGAGTTTGCATGTTTCCACAAATCAAAATTTCCACTGGTTGCTGTTTGGAAAATGCCCTTAGGAAATGATGCAACTCTTACTCACCGCTCAAGAGCAGAGACTAAAATGAAACTTAAGGTGAAAGGATAGTTGCTTTTGTTTTTTTTTTTAAGCTTAAAAATATGCTTGTCAGTTAAAATATTGTTTTGTTGCATGATATGTTTTTTTGTCAACTGCTGTTTTGTTTTCAAGAAAGATGCTTTTGTTTGCTTCAGTTTCTGCCTTAAAGCCAGAAGAGATGCCAGAGGTGCGGATGGACACGGAGAAGCAGAATGCTGGATATGAGGTTTACCATCAGAAACTGGTATGAATATCCTAGCAGGTCATTCCCTTTTTCCTTGAACAGCAGTTCTCCTCAGCAGCCATCAAGAGCGGCAGAAGCCTGTTGGTCATTTATAGTAGTCAGGCGTGTGGCACCAAGGAGAAACACAAGATAAGAGACCAGGATTTAGAGCCACTTGCTTAAAATAGAGTCCTAATTAGACACAAACACAGGAATAATGGAGGGACATTCAGATTTTCTTTCCATCACTTGTTACAAGTTTCATATGAAACTTGCTGTATCTTTAGAAACTTCAACTTAAAGCAACACTAAGTAACAATTTTACCCCAACATATCCTCATAAATGTCCCTGTGATGGTAAGCTATGTGTTTATGAGACATTTGAGAGATTTGTCATCTCCCCATACTAGGGTTGTCAAAAGTATCGATATTCAAAAAAGTATCGATACTGAAACGTTGTATCCAGATACAATACTTGTAGGGTAAATCCAAGAGTTTCAATTAAATCCGTGTTAGGTTGGACTTTTGTGGCTGACGCGTGTTCCAGGTTCCAAAAAAAAAACAATAGCCTCCACTGACGTCACGTTTTGCCTTTTTTATTTTAAAACAAAGGCGATAACAAAAAAAAACGAACGTATACAAAAATATACCTCTTAAACCTTCACAAAACTAAATCTGAGGTTCCACAGAGTAACGATATGAGCATGGCCCAAGCAAAAACACGGTCAGAAAACCGTGAGCCACCAACTTTCCTCCTCCCGTGTCTGTTTACAATGGTTACCTTACTGGGCACCTGGCGCAGAAAAATGATGTCATCAAAAGGCACACTAAGCAGCATCCTGTAAACATTTTAAATTAAAATTTTTTAACTTCTATATATTTTTAAATCAAATTATTATTGTCAGAGTCACTTTTGTAAATGAAATATCAAATTCTCATAATACAAATAATTTCAAACTATACATAAAACAGGCATATGGCGCCTACAATACTCTTTTTTTTAAAGTATCGATACAGTGCTACCACCAGTGGCACCTAAACAGTCATTCATCTTATGCACAGATTAGAGGACAATGCACTTTCAGAACACTGTGTGATTGAACAATTCTGTGCACTTTTCAGTTTCAGACTTTTTGTTGTAAGAGGTGCAGCTGCTGAGAATTATTTTAGTTTTTTAACTGGTTTAGCTAGTGTTAGTGTTATGTGTGCAAAGCATAGCCAAGGAAGGAAAACTTAATTTTATAAGTTTTTTATCAAGCTTGCTTAATATTGTGCACAGCATACAACCTCAAAATATTATTATTATTGTTTATTGTATTTATTTATTGTATTTTATTTATTAATGAAAATATTTCTGTTGAATTTTGGAGTCTTTGTTTTTATCCTTGTGGTGTCGAAAATGGTATCGAATATTTTCCTTAGTATCGGTATCGAGTTGAAAAGTTTAGTATCGTGACAACACTACCCCCTACTGTCTCTGTCCACAGACCCCAATAGCAGTCTCACAGCCACATTCATGAGACAAACAGCTTTACAGCAGCCCAATATAAAAGCTTCAGCAGCCATAATTCTCGCTCTGTGCTAACAGCAGTTGATTATAGAGCAGTTTATTAGTTTGGAGGTTTATGAAATGCTGGAGCCAGCAAATATGGCATAGAAAACTGTCAGAAGAGCTAAGGGAAAGAACATGTAAATCTGAACGAGATAGGACTCTAAATCTGTTGCAAGGAGTTTACTATGTGAAGAGACCTAAAACAAAAATAAAGTTACAAAACTGATGCAGATCTGACAGCATTATTATTGGACTTAAAAGTACAATATCTAACCTTATTTGTGTTATTGATTGTGATTTAAATGTGATCTATCTTTAAAACATGGAGAAGCTGAATCACCTAATAAGAACAATTGAAATACTTTTTACCTAAGAGGCACACATTTCACCAACCAATATAAGAGTCACACTTTAGAGTGAAAAGGCTGCTACACACTAGTTTACATATGATCATTTACAGTAATAACCACCTCTTTAGAATTTTGATGGTGATATGTGTCTTCCTGCTGCTGAGAGAGTGACTGTTTAAAACAGTGCTATTTTCAAACTGTCCTGTAGGGGGAGCACCACTCAAATTATTTAGTGCTGCCTCTTATTTTGTAGTGAGCTACACTCTTCTGGGCTGCTCAGTGGCGCAGTGGGTAGCACTTACAGCAAGAAGGTTCTGGCTTCAATTTCCGACCCGGGATCTTTCTGTATGGAGTTTGCATGTTCTCCCTTAGCATGCGTGGGTTCTCTCTGGGTACTCTGGCTTCCTCCCACAGTCCAAAAGACATGACTGTTAGCTTAATTGGCTTCTCTAAATTCTCCTTAGGTGTGAGTGTGTGCCTGAATGGTTGATGGACTGGCCACCTGTCTAGGGGGTACCCCGCCTCTCACCCATAGACAGCTGGAGCAACAGCACCCGCCCGCAACCCCACTTGGGATAAGCGTGACGGGGAAAAAAAGGATGGATGTTTAAATTCAGCAAATCATTATTTCTTCAGTTCCTCTCATTGTGCTACTAATTAGTGAGCAATGCTTCTCATATGAATGTGTTTCTGTAGGTGTTTTTTGCTGAGGATGTGGGGTCCAACAAGGGGGCCATTATTGGGCTGATGGTCGGAGGAGTCGTCATAGCAACCGTCATTGTCATTACTTTGGTGATGCTGAGAAAGAAACAATACACCTCCATCCATCACGGTGTAATCGAGGTAAACGGGTAGTTTACAGCTCCAGTTTGTCTTTCCTTCTGTTCTTCTCTTCACAAATCCCCATATCCATGTTTTTAAAGGTGGACGCTGCAGTGACCCCCGAGGAACGCCATCTGGCCAAGATGCAGCAGAACGGCTATGAGAATCCCACTTACAAGTTCTTCGAGCAAATGCAGAACTAAGGAATTGTGGGGTGGCGTTTCCTTCAGGTGTTCTCCTCAGCACAACTCTGTCACCATCCTGCTCTTTTCCTTTTTGATCCCTCGCCCTTTACCCCTGCAGGGAGCTGAACCAAGGGCCTTTCAACAAAGATGGTTTTGAACGCTTAACACATCAGATCAATCTGTGCATGTCTCTGCCAGGGGGTTTAGGCCAAAGGGAAATGGCATGGAATCAAGTCTTTTTTTTTTTTTTTGCTATTAGATTCCCCCTCAAACAGACAACGGTACCCTGGTTTACCTGCACGTTCAGCCAATCACAACTTCACAAGGTGTTTGTACAGGAAACCCCTTTGTTTAAATGACATCATCATCTGCTCTCAGATTTCATGGTGAGGCTCTTAGAGCTCATTGACGCACGACTGAAGTGTTTCAGGTAGATTTTACATAAAAGGAGAAAAAAAAAAGAAAAATATACCCACAATCAAAATATTTAGAAGCTAATGATATTTAATGTTTTTTTTATTGTGTAATATAATAAGCCAGAGATTAGCTGTAAGTGTAGTGCATGGCGTTATTGATCGGGAGGTCCTGGGAGCGGACCTCTCTCTAGATATTCTTGCAGGATTGTATATTTCCAGTGTCTTCTTTGTGAAATCGTGATATGAAGGAAAAAAAAAAAGAAGTATTGAGAATCTGTTCTGCTTTGTTGTCGCACAGAGTTGCTTTAATTGAAACTTTCGCTCATCTCCATGCTTCACTGTTTCGTTAGCTGCATGGGCGTGCAAAATATGAAGTGTTTTAGAATCCGAAAGGAAAGAAGATTGTGGTACTGTTTGTGTTCTATGCACTCAGCCTGACTTTTATCACCAAATATGAATATGGTTGATTTTTATGCCGACTGTCGCCGCACTTTGTGATCTTTGCTTTTGAACAAAGATTAAAGAGAAAGTTCAACATTTTAAAATGAGGTTCTGTTTTAGAAGCAGTTAATGTCTTAGTTGCTGTAGATCACTCAGCTAATATTAGCTGCACGTCATCCATGGTGAATTAGAAGAACAACTTATATTTTAGCATTTTTACATATAAACAACAGTTCTCTCACAGAGCAAATGGTCTTTAAAAATATGTGGAAACGTCAACTTTTATGGCTTTAATGGCTTCAGGCAGAAAGCTGGGCATGTGTTTTTAAGGTGAAGATTTTTAATTCTGGATTAAATCAGATTACAACTTTTAAAGCTGTAATGATATTACTGCATTTCTCTATTATTTAACCAATAATATTAAATCTTGCGCCACCAATGACCTTCCTGTGTGAAACCTTCGTTAAATGGAACACCTAAAGGGTTCTCAGGTTAAAAAAAATTACCCAATTTAAATAACACAAATGTAAAAATCCATTTTTTTGCACCGTTTTTATAATGTTCGCCGCTTTTGTGTTTTTGAACACATTGGAGTTTTAAAGTTTCTTCAGCCTCACGGACCAACTAACCTGGTTTATTACGGATCATCTGCTCTAAGATATGAACTGTTCATAACCTTTAACAGAACCGCAATTCTGAATCTGGAACTATCCCTTTAATGTCAAGCTTTAGAAAGTTTTATTTTGTATAGCATATCATTCCTGATTTAACTCTCTTATGTATTGATTGTAAATATATGGTCGATGACCCAGTTATGGAGTTGTTTTTGTCAAAAATCCTGGAAGTTCCAGACATGTAATCTCATTCCTCACATCTGGAAGCAGTTTTGTACACAGCTGAAATCATTGCAGACATTCAGGAGTGGCAGTGCTCAGCATAAGCAAAGTAATCAAGATGTTTTCCAGATGGTTCTGTATTAACCACAAATGCATTCCTTCATCAAATCAACCATTCTATTTTTCTACATTCGCCGTGTATACATGTACAGTGCTGTATCGTTTTTTTTTTGGTTGCACATTTGTTTAAATGCCCCTAAAAGCCAGATACGTTTAACTCCCCCTAAGTTATTCTAATGGTTACCATGAATGTGACATGATTATATATATTGCATTATCGTCAAAATACAACACATATCACCTCTGTAAATGTACAGACACCAACTGAAGCTCTTAATCAGGTGAATGTTTAATAAATGCTTTATTTCTCCTTTGAACGTGTAATGACCTTTCCCCTATGTGTGGTTTGATGAAACATTTGCTTAAAGTAAGAAAAGCTTTCTACACTCCCCCATTCCATTAATAAATTTTGAATGTACATATTCATGTTTGGCTGATTGTTTTTGTATGTTTTTAGTCTTGAAAAGATTTACATTTCACACAAAGCTGTTAGAAAATGCTTGTCACTTTATTCCCCTTTGGCGGACAAAAAAAAAAGGGTCCAACACTTTAGGGAAATGCACTAAATAAAATACAAAACGAGTCTTATGAAAATACATTGCCTTCGTGGCTATCAAAAAACATGAAATATTTGTATATACAGTGGAAAAGATCCTGGATTACACAGAAAAAGCGCACAAAACAAAGCTTTTAATTTGGATTTCAGTCACACTCATTCAGCCATGCACGCACCAGTCCTTCACTATAAACACTCTCATCCTGGGCACGCTTCAGTTGGGTAGTTGAGGAAAAGCTAAAATAACAAAAAAAAAACAACACCTGCCTCAGTCTAAGCTGAATTTCACTGTATTTACAAGTTTTTAATCCAGGCTAATCAGAGATCAGCTTGGCTGGCCTAATGATGTACAGTTTCCAGCCGCGGACTCCTTCAGCTGTCCTTATCCAGAGTGGTAGCCAGCGTCACCGTAGTGATGGGCTGTCCGATGCCGTGCATCTGAATGCGAGCAAGTTTCTTCTGTTCGCACTCTGTCACCAGGCTGTTGAGCTCGGCGGCGCTGTAGCCAATCAGAGTCCTCAGGTCGCATACAAACTTGTAGACAAAGCGCTTGCCCTGCACCTTGCTGATCATGTCGCCGTCATAGTAGTACCTGAACCAGAGCAAAGCTACTATCAGTAAAAGCATTGTTACCACACACTGTATGACCTCAACCATAAATACTTTCCTGTAAGTTTAAAAGATTGCACTTTATGAGGAAGGGCGGCTAAATAAAAATGAGCAGTGGGGATTTTTTTTTTCTTTTTTAAGGATTAATGTTTAGAATGTTTTCTGCTAAAGTAAACCATGCTTTTTTTCTAAAAATCCAATTAGTTTTAGCACATATTGTTAAACAGACTCGAGCACTTTAAACCGTTAACATTCACCTTCGCTGAAATGCAGGCCAGGTATAATGGGATTTACTGGGTTCAATGGAAAAGTAAAAGATAAATACTATTCTGGCTGCATGCTCGAGGCAGAGCTTTGAGTTTAGACAGGAGTCAGTTCCTACAGCCAAGTCCTACTAAACCTTAAACTAAAGTTCATCCATCTTTTTGTTAGCTCTGACCAGCTCTCCTGTCCATGGTGGAGAAACTCCTTACAGCCAGCTACGTTCAGGGTCACCATTAGTGGGGTGTTTTAGTGAGGATCAGCAGTATTGGCAGCTTCCATGATGCTCTTCCTACTCTGGTGTCAGATGAGCCTACCCCATCAGACCAGCATACCTCTAATCAATACGCATGTGCAAGACGTCAGATTTGAGTTTATTCCTTCAGTTTTGTATAAAAATAGAATTTAAACTACCCTGACCCTACCCTTTAGTCATGTACAAGAAAAATAATGTAAGGTCAGATCGCCATACGCTTAAAAAAAAACACCAAAAAGTAAGTAATTAGTTTTTTCGTACCTGATTAAAGGGATACATAACCGTTGAGGTAGTTTAAAGTGTATTTTTCCTACAAATCTAATGGGATAAATGGGTATTGACTACGGGTATGCTGGTCTTACTGGGTATCCTCATCTGACAGAACACCGGCCTTCCAGTTTAATTGGACAGCTATGTCTTTAAATCTTTGCAGTCCTGCCAAACGCTTTTCATTCCTACATAAAACCTGGTCTCCTTGCTTATGATTAGTTTTCTGAAATTAAATACAACCTAACAGACTTGTGTTTCTAAGGTTTAGTGTGCAGGTTCATTCCTACACACCATGGCTATCTAACCTCAACACCTTGTAGAGATTCACATAGTATGTTCAAAATAATTGAGGTTTAAAATCCCAGTATTAAAGCAACATTCAATATGGTCTGGTAGGTTTGTTATAGTATCAGGACACCCCTGTCACCCTAGACAGTGTTTATGCACCAAATTGGGATGATGATAAGTTCATATCCAAGTTTTTCACATCTATGTAATTATAAAGTTAGGATGTTCAGCATCCTAACTTAGACAGATCTTTAACCAGACCATACTCCCTTACAAAGTCAGCCAAACTACTTTGATCCACTGCATCAAAGCTGGGTTTTTCAGATCCATGGAGGTTTCCAGACAAATAATTATTTTCCTTTTTTTCCCCATCTGTCAGAATAGACTTATTTTCTCTTAGCTAACAGATTAATTTCTAATATATGCTCATGTGGCAACCATAGTATAATAATTTCAGATCATGCTCCCACTTCTCTATAAACATTTTTCCGACTTACAGACGAAACGATGGAGCTTTAAATCGATTCTACTAGCTAATTACCTCTTTGTTGAACATGCAACAACCACCTCTTAAGTATTTTTTTTTTTTTTTACAATAAATGACACTCTAGATGTATCAAGGGGCCCTTTATGGGAAACCTACAAGACATATCTTAGAGGCTATGTAATTTCTTACACAGCTTACCTTAAGAAAGCCAATTTGAAAAGAATAACAGAGTTAACACAAATGATCCTTGAAGTTGACGATTATTATTCTACAATCCCAGATCCTGCACGCTACAAAAGATGATTGCAACTTCATTCTGAACTGGCTCTTTTAACCACCAATGAAGCAGAACAGCAACTGCTTAAATCCTAACAAAAATTCTTTTAGTCTGAAGACAAAGCTGGCAAACTCCTTGCTCAGCAATCCAGAGCAGCTGCAGCCTCTAAGCCAATCCCAACCATAAAATCCCCCTCTGGTACCACCCTTTCTGACGCAAAAAGTATAAATTAAACATTTGCAAAATCTTATTCTGATCTATATGCATCTGACCTCCCTCAGTTAAACTCACCTAATATACTTCATAATATTGTTTTCCCCACAATAGAAGAGGAGTGGGTAGAAAAATTAGCAGCGCAACATCTCCATCTTCAGGCCAATTTATGCTTTTGAAACATAGCCTAGCATTTTACAAGGAACTTTCCCCACTTCTTTCCAAGATCTTAAGTGATGTATATAATGAGTCATTGTCTGTTGGCCATCTACCAACTTTAAATGATGCTACTATTTCTCTGCTGTTAAAAAAGGATAGGGATCCCTTACTTTGTAGTAGTTTCAGACCCATATCACTCTTAAAAGTTGATTACAAAATTCTTGCTAAACTTTTATGACTCTGTCTCCCACAGATTCTACTAGAAATTATCTCTTGATCAAACAGGCTTTATATTGGGTAGACAATCATTTCACAACACTAGAAGGCTTTTCAATATACTCAACACTCCTGCTGGGCCCCCTGCTGACTGCACCGGACTGGGCATTTGAACCGAGCCATCAGCTCTGGATCCAGAGCCAGCCAGGAACGGAGAGACCAAACCCGACCCGGTGACTGTATGCTTTCCCCCCCGCCCGCCCGGTAAGGC